AAGAGAAAGATAAATATCGTATACTAATGCATATATATGGAATCTAGAAAAATGGTACTGAAGAATATATTTGAAGGGCAGCAATGGAGAAACAGACATTAGAGAATAGACTTATAGACATAGGGAGAGGGGAGGAGAGGGTGAGATATGGAAAGAGTAACATGGAAACTTACATTACAGTATGTAAAAAAGATAGCCAATGGGAATTTGCTGTATGTCTCAAGAAACTCAAACAATGGCTCTGTGTCAACCTAGAGGGGTGGGATGGGGAGGGAGATGGGAGGGAGGTTCAAAAGGGAGGGGATATTTATATATATACACCTATGGCTGATTCATGTTGAGGTTTAACAGAAAACAACAAAATTCTGTAACACAATTATCTTTTAATTAAAAAAAAAAATCTGGAGTGGGTTGCCACACCCTACTCCAGGGGATCTTCCAGACCCAGGGATTGAACCTGCATGCTCTTAGGTCTCTTGCATTGGCAGGCAGATTCTTTACCACTAGCATTACCTGGGAAGCCCACCTAATCTCATGAGGAAAGAAATCCTATAGAAACTGAACAGCGACTATGCAACCATGATGCATATGAGGCACCTACTGCATGCTAGGTACTGGGGGTGCCCTGGGGAGCAACACCAGACGAAAGGGTCCCTGAACCCAGGGAGTAGCCCAGGGAAAGGACCAGCATTTAGAAATGGGTAACCCCAGTCACTCCACAGAAAGTTGTGTCTCTTAATAGCAGGGGAGCCAGATAGTTTATTGTCCAAATCAGGATATTTTTGAGACTAAAAGGGGAAGCTGTTAATAATTACATTGAGCCCATAGGAGTCCTGGACAAACCAGGCACATGATTGCATTAAGAGCAACAGTCCCCCTGCCTTCTGCCCCTCTGGCCAGTAAAGGCACTTTGGCTACTGGTCAAAGTTGCCAGATCTGACCCCCTCTGCCTGCCCTTGGACGAGAGAGAACACAGAGGATGCGCAACAGGAAGGGGGAGGGGCGAGCAGAAAGGACTGCAGGCCCCAGAGCTCAGTGATCAGGATCTAGGGAGTCTGGGATCAGGTAGGAAGGGTATGGGATATGGCACCAGCCTCCAGCTGCCACATCTGGGAGCTCAGCTCGCATGCAGGTGGCTTTTGCAAGTTCTCCACTCTCCCCAGCTGCCCAAGTCCTGCTTGCTTCAGGGAAAACGGGTTCCTGTGACTTCTTTGAGTTTCTTCTACTCTACCTCCTCGTGCAAAGGTGGTCTGGTCTGTAGCTGTGATATAGGTAGACCAAGAAGTGTGTGTGTCTGAGAGACAGAGAGACCTATTAATATTTCCCTCTGTCCCTCTGTCTGTCTGACTCTCAGACTATTAATACAAGCCCCATGTCTGGCTGCACCCCCAGAACATAACACTCCCACAGCACAACGCTGCCCTCCCAACAGAGCCTGTTGTCTGTTCCGTTTCTGATTGGCGCCAGGGTCATAGACCCCATGTAGGTAGAATATAACTTTCCATAAATAACCCTTAACCCGACCTACAATTTAGCCTTTGGGTTTTTTTTCCCCTCGTGGTAATGGGATTATAGCCTGGGTCATCCCTCCAAAATCTCCGGGTCCCAGAAACAGACCCTAGGTGTTAACTCGGGGTTAGGGGGTTGGTTTGAATCCTCTGTTCCCCAACACTGCCTCGCATGTGACAAGGACTCAGTGCACATTAGGAAATTGAGTCTCCTCCAGCCATGAACCTTCAGCCTCAGTGTCTTGGCTGGGGCCGTGCTCTCTGCCTAGAATGTCCATGCTCCCTTCTCTACCTGGTAAACTGCTAATTCACCTCCCTGAAACCCTCCCTAAGTTTGATCCCTCATTTCCACCCACCACAGAGCAAATTGCTGCCATCCTCGGTCCCTATAACACTTTGTACAGAACAGTGTGACCTGATTATTTGCCCACGTGCCCAGCAGGCTCTGAGCAGCTCGAGTGGGTGTCAGGGTGAGTATCTGAGCCCACAGCTGGCTATGGGCAAAATATTTAACCCCTTGGTGCCTCCGTGTCCTCATATTCAAACACCAACCTGGCTCCAGAGCCCATTGCCCACCCAATTGTGACACATCGCCTTTGGGGGACTGGGCGATGTATCCATCTCCCACCTGAGCTCTAGTTCTGGGCCCTGGGGCTCTCCTCATGATGCATGGATTCTCTGCAGGGTCTCACTGAGGTCTCCTTGGGGCCTGGAGGCAGCAACATCCACTGACACCTATCAAAGGCTTGTGGATGATGATAATGGGTTTAGGAGGGATTATTGGAAGTTAAGGGGGAAAGTTACAGGGAAGATCTTGGGGTGGGGTTACCCCGAGATGGGCTGGATTCAAACGTTTGCAAAGGGTCATCCCTTCTTATGGCAAAGGGAGAGTATTTCTCGAGTCTCTGTTAGTGCCTAGCACTATGAAGTGAGACAAGAGTTTTGAAAAAAGCACAAGTCATGGTCCTTGCTTGTGAAGAGTTTACATTTTCATCACGGAGGCATAAGATTCACATTTGGGAAAAAGCTTGACTGAACTCCTGTGAGCTGGTCCTGACACTTGACTTTGTGTCTATTCTGGTACTAAACGGGCTTGGCTGGGTGGGACAGGTGACCCATGAAGGAATGCTAAATGGAAGACATAGGATCAGAAGTCCAAGGAGTGACAGGGACAAAGGGGCAGGACATCAGGGGAGAGGGGATCAGCGGGAGCTGGAATATTTCTGGAAGGTTCAGGGAAGAGGTAACAAGGAACACGAACCCCAAAGAAAGAGCAGGAGTTGTTGGGGGTGGTAAGTGAGGGCAGTAAATTACAGGTCGGGACAGTCTGGGGCCACCTACGAGTCATTAAAGGAGTTTGGGAGAGTGGGGGATGGGGATCAAGCAGTCTTCCATGTCAGACTGAGAAGCGTGAACTTGATCCTGGATAGGAGGAGCTATTGAAGGATTTAAAATATTTTTAATTTGGCTGCACTCGGTCTTAGTTGCGGCACGTGGGATCTTTGATCTTCATTGTGTCACTCGGGATCTTTTGTTATGGAATTCGAACTCTAAGTTGCAGCATCTGGGATCAGTTCCCTGACCAGGGACTGAACCCAGTCACCTTCCATTGGTAGCAGAAGTCTTAACCACTGGACCACCAGGGAAGTCCCGAGGAGTTTTTGAACAGAGGTATGACATGAGGAGAACAGTGTTTTTGAAAGACAGTGTGGTGGCCAGGCTGCGGAAGCGAGACTAGGCTGAGGTTAATACAGTGGCTGAGGTGAAGGGATGAAGTCTAGGTTTGGAAAGAAAGGGATGAACATGACCTTTCAAAGGAAGGATGTAATTGCCACAAGGGCCACCATAACACTGTCAAAGGTGTCTCCCAGGTTTGAGCTCTAGTGACCAAAAGAAGAATGTTACCGTTGACAGAAATGACCACATGTGGTTGGAAAAACAAGACCACATCCTCTTTGCAACAGTTCGTTATCTTTATTAACAATGCCTCTGGATTCTGAAAGAACAGACTGGTATTTCATAAAGCAATATTAAAGTTGTCATTCTCTACAAGAAAAACTTTTGCATAAATAACTTAAGTGAGAAAATAAATACGTAACTTAACTCTTTAGAAAAAAAAACAAAAACTGCTACTTTCATTCTTGTGGACAAATTCCACTTGAAAAGATTGCAAAAACAACCAGCTGGGCAGGCTTTCACATGGCATGTGCTTCTGTTTAAAAAAAAAAATTTTTTTTAAGCAATTAAAAACTGCACAGAAAGTAAGTGGTGCCTGGAAATGATTTTCCAAAAGATTTTTGGATGGTAGCTCTTAAGCTTTGCGGTTTCTCAGCATATATACAGCACTTGTAATTTTTTCCCCAATAATATTTTAATGTAAGCTACGCCATCACATGTAACAGCAGTAAGAAGCTCTTTTCCAAGCAGAAATGTGTCCTTGAGTGGTAGGCAGGAGGAGGGTCTTGAAAGGGACCCTCTGGTCTTTGAATGGGTGGTGGCTGCTCCCTTGGGCCCACAAGCCCAGTGTGCTGTGACCTTGGGCTTCTCTACAGCAGGTGACCTTAAATAAAATATGGCCATGATAGGTGCACGGTGGGGGAGGTGCTCTTTGAGTACAGAGACTAACCTCTGTGCCTCCCGCCACCCTTGGGACCTTCCTCTCTATCCCAATGGATGGTGCTGTTTCTGTGTCCTTTATGATGGAAAGTGGAGGTAGCGAAACATCTGGGATCCCAGGCTGGGACACACCACAGCTTCTCCCACGAGTCTGTCAGCCATAAATAGACTCTTTTCCTTTTTTCATCTTTGGCTGTCAGATCAGAGGATGACAACTCTGAATTCTGGAAGCGACCCCATCAATGATTCAATCCAAACTCTCTTTCCTCTGCCCATTCAAAGGGCACCCGAGTCCGTGGAATCACGTGACAGCAGATTGCTCCAGATGCTTATCCCACCCCCACTTCCATTTTACAAAGAGGAACTCGAAGTCCAGGAAGACAAGAGCATAATCGTCCGAGATCACCTGGCACTCTGGGGGCAGGGGCAGGGCTAGAAACCCCATCTAGGGACCCAGCCTTGTGTTCTGGGCACAGCAAGGCACTCAAGGCTTTTCTGCCTGGCAGAGAGGTGGGGGAAGGGGAATCGGATCGAACTCTCTAAACCAGTTCCTGGGCAATGAAATGCTTCCTTTTCCGCCTCCTCTCAAGTGGGACCATCAAAAGTAGGCGGCCCTGGCGGGGCGGGGCTGCGTGGCTCAGTGTCTGTGACTCTCAGCGCCCTCCCCTGCCCCCGGGACCCCCGCGGCGCGGATGAGAGGTGGGGTGGTTGCTGACCCCGGAATCCACAAGGCCTGCAGCCAGGAAGGTCTCAGCACCCCACTCCGGCCCCGGGTTGCAGGTATTAAAAATGAAACCCAACCGATCAAACCGCGCGCAGGGGGCGGAAAACTGGGGCGCCTGGGTTGGGGGCCGCCCGCGGGGCGGCGGGCCAGCTCTAATAGGCGTTCTCCAGCTCCGCCCGGTTGGCTTTGGTGCCCCGGGCGCGGGGCCGCAGCTTCCGGCCCGTCTGCGGCCGCGCGGCCTCGGGCCCGAAGTCCTTGAGCTCGGACTGGTTGTGGAAGCGAGTGAGGCGCTTGCACTTGCACGAGGCCACCAGGCGCACCTTGCGCGCGCGCGGCGCCGCGCCGCCTGGACACAACAGCTGCACCCGCTGCGCGCGGTAGCGGTCGGGGATGCAGCGGAAGTCGGGCCCGCTCGGGCGCCACCACTTGCCGCGGCCGATGGCGTTGGGCAGCAGGCGCGCCGGGCCGCACTGGCCGGAGCACACCAGCTCGGTGACCGGCTTGGCGCTGCGGCACGGCCCGTCGGTCACGTAGCGGGTGAAGTGCAGCTCCCGGCAGCTGTACTCCGAGGCGTCTGCGGAGAGAGACGCGCGTGAGGGCGGCCACGCGGCCCGGCTCCCCCCAAACCACCTCCGCCCGCCGTTTCCAAACCTGCCTCTCCCCAGACGCTTTTGCCCCTGGAGGTCTATTATGGGAAGGGCCCAGAAATTCTGGAGCTGGTGGCAAGATCACTGGTCCACCCGCTCGCCCTAAAACTGCAGAGCCAAGTGACTGCTTCAGTTCGAATATCAGTTCCATGACTGTGTGACCTTGGACAAGTTGCTTAACCTCTGTGCACTTCCTATCTGTAAAATGGGTTGTCTTGAAGATTCAATGAGCCGATCCTTTACATATATAATTCAGGGGACGCTGCCTGGAACATAGTAAGAGCTGGAAGTGTTGGTGCTATTGCAGTTATTATTCCTCTCCAAGGGGGCCCTCTTCGCCAGACTTAAGTCACATCTGTCCCACAGGGCCCCTGGCCTCAGCAGGGTAGTTATTAGCCACACCTTCTGAACGGCTCTGACTTCTCCCAAATTCCTTTTCTAGCAGGTTGGGAGGGGTGACAGGGTGCAGAGGGGATGGAGAAAGGAGTAGGGGTTAATTGACGGTAGTAAATCAGAGCAGCTACTGAGCGGGAGAGGGATGGAAGGGGAGGTGGAGAGGAGACTGAAGTCCTTAGACTTGAAAGGAGCCGATGGCAGCACCTCCAACCCCCTCATTATTACTGAGGCCCGGAGAAGGAAAAGCTCTTTCCGGAAAGGCAGAGCTGGTCTCCTGACTCTGCACCTCTGAGGCCCCTGCACCTCCAGGCTGCTGCAAAGTGGAAGTTGTGTGCCTGGGCACCGTGGGATGTTGGGCGGAGGGGTGAGGGGGGCCAAAGGGCTGCCTTTGACTACTTTTACTACCGTTCCTTCCCTATCAGGGCCCCGAGATCTGACTGAAAACGTAAAGCTTCAGTTGCCACAAACACTTATTAAGTACCTGGTGTGTACCAGGCACTGCGCTGGGCGCATCTCTTCTTCTGTGCTATTCTGTGGACACCCAATGGTGGCATAGACCTGCTCCCTGGGCAGGGGAAGTTTGGGCTCTAAGGTCTGGCTTGATGCCTGAAGACAGCTTGATCATGTCTTCTACTATGGACTTAGACTGGTAGGAGCTTTTTTAAACAGGTGGTCCTTATATGAGCACCTGTCGATCCCCAAGGGTCTCATAGGGTCAGTTTCTATGTGACACAAAGGGATGAAAAATAGTCCTATGACCATAAAACAGAGAGGAGACAGAGAAGGCCAGCCCCCCACGCCCTACCTTGGAGAACAAGCACAGCAGCGGAGGATGTAGGGGGTTGCCTTCCTCCCTCAGCTGTCCTTTTGGTTCCTGGTCTGGTTTGGCACCCTTGCCCCTGCTCCTAGGCCTGCAGGGGTAGTGTGTAGGGGCAGCCTGTTTGCCCAGGGAAGGAGGCTTGGGGCTTTCCAAGAATAGTACCCGTAGGTCAGGTGCTTCCTCTGCATAGGGTGACTCTGGAGCACGTGGCTTCCTCTGCGCCTGTGGGTTTCATGGGAACCCAGAGAGGTGGACGTCTTGGGTTCCTTACAGCCTATCTCTTGAGTTTACTTGATCTTCCCTGGGCAGGAGCAGGGGAGGAGCAGGCTCCTCTGGGGTGCCCTCTGCAGAGCCCCCCTTCCCAGCTGGTTGGGAGGTGGGGCAGGATGGGATGCCAGGGCCGGGGCTGTGGACTCCTCTCCCACCTGGACTGTGGCCAGAGGGCCTTCCTCTGGAGCATCATTCCGGCCCCCGCCCCCAGCCATTCCTGCCAGCTGCAGAGCCAGCTGCGCACACTGCCCCGCAGGCTTCTCTGTGCAGACCCAGCCAGGGACCCAGGTGGGGTCTCTGCCCTTCCACTAGGATCAGGCTCCCTCCCAGGAAGGAGGCAAGGCTGAGTCTAGGGTGGGGACTCAGGACAGAGGGTGCCACCTGTGTCCACGCCCGGCCCCAAGGATGCTGCTTCCCCTCCAGGGCCCCCACCCAGGTAGCTGCAGCGCCCCTCTCTTCAAGGGCCAGCTCACTGGATAGATCATGGTGGTAGGGGCTAAAGGGTGCCCCTCTGGCATCCCTTTCTCGCTGCTTTGCCAGGATTCGCTGTGGCTTTTGGCCTCCGACATCCCCCAGGCAGTCCCCTGCCAGGGCTGTCTTGTAATTGGATCAAACTGGCTTCAAATCTCAGCTGGCTTAACAAGCCACTTTATCTCTGAAGCCTCCTTGGGAGGAGGAACTTGGGAGTTCCCTGGGGTGCGGTTCAGGCATAGTCCATGTAGCATCTGCATCTAGCAGGTGCTCACAGACACGAAGCTCACTTGCCTTGTCCCCTCCCCAGTTGTGTCAGCAGTTGGACCCTACTCTTCTCTTCTCAGGAGGGAATTCTTTGAAACCTCCTGAGCCCTTGAGCCTGTCCCAGTCCTGCACCCTCAGCACCTCAGCCTCCTTCCTGCTCTGGTCTTTCACTCCCAGGACCCTGTCAGCCCCACGCCCTTGCACTTGAGTTCCAAGGATACAGCTGACATGCCATCTTTCCCTGGCCTCCTGGCAAAGTTGTCCGTCCACTGGTGCTGGTAACAGTCCCAGAGAGAACCTTCCCAGGACCCTTATGCTAAAAATACTCTCCTGCATCACATACCTTTGGTCTCAAAGGGATGGTGGGGAGGTCTCCCTCCGTTCTCCGCCCGGTTCATGGTCTTGTTGTTCAGCTCTGGCAGAGGCTCGGGGTACTCGCCCAGCTCAGGGATGATTTCCGTGGCATCATTCTTGAAGGCCTGCCACCCCTGGCCCTCCACCACGCGGAAGGCTGCATGCACCAACAGGCAGACGAGACACAGGGCAAGAGAGAGCTGCATCGTGCCAGCAGGAGGAGGGCACTCGGCCTTCCTGGTAGCACAGGCTCCGGTCCCCAGCCTGCACACGTTTGCCTTTTTAAAGCCCCCTCTGCCTTGTGCCAGCCAATGAGGACAGGCTGGGGCAGGGCTGGTCCCATGCTTCCCTCAGCCCAGGAGGAGGGAGCGGGGTGTGCTCCGAGCAAACCCTCCCCAAACACTCCTTGAGCTCAGAAATCTCCCAAATTGCTGCTGGTGCTCCCAGGTGACCAGCGGTGAGGGGGGTGTGTGAGGCAAGCCTGCTCTCAGCGCCTCCCACGTGCAGGCGGCTGCAGTTTTCGAATATCAAAACGAGCTACAGCTCCTCATCTCTACCTCCCCGGGCCCCTTGGGCTTTCTCAAAACAAACTGGGGACCAGCTTAATGAAGCAAACTACAGCTCCGAGTCCTCCGCAGGTCTTAGCCCTGCTGATCCCATCTCTCAGGCCAAATTCATTTGTCACCCCACCAAAATAAAACGGCCCCTAGCAGTGTCTATTTGCCCCCGCCATGGACCCAGGCAGAGGCAGAAGGCAGCTTTTTAAGAACCCTCATTGGTCTACATGTGGCTCAGCATCAATTATCCTGACCAAGAAGGTCCCGCTTGTCATCATCCCTCTGGAAGGCAAGAGGGAAATCTGGAGGGTCACAGCAGGGGCTTCCACTTCCGAGGGGGCAGGGATTCTGGCTTCCAGGCCAGGGTGAGAGGTCAACAGGCTCTGGTGATGGAGACAAGGAGGAAACCTCGGCTCAGGCTCCTTGGGGATCTTGTGCTTGGTGACAAGCACTTCTTGGCAGGCTGATGTGCCAAAGGCAGTTATTTCCCGGGCCAGGCTGTGGGTAGAAGTGGAGAACACAAAAATCCCTTTTCTTAGCAAAAGTGGAAGCCAAGCATTTTTAGTGCTGACATTTTTTTTTTCTTGTTTCCCAGCCCATTACATTCTTCAAAACCAGCTTTGAGTCCTGTGTGGAAAACCTTATCGGTGCAGAGCATGGGATGGATGCATTCGGTGAAGCCATACCAGGTCTAGCTAGCTACAGAGAACTCAGAAGGAATTGCTACCTTTCCCTGGTTTCTCAGATAGTAAAGAATCTGCCCTCACTGTGGGAGACCTGGATTTGATCCCTGAGTTGGGAAGATCCCCTGGAGGAAGGTATGGCAACCCACTCCAGTATTCTTGCCTGGAGAGTCCCATGGACAGAGGAGCCTGGCGGACTACAGTCCATAAGGTTGCAAAGAGTTGGACACGACTGAGCGGCTAAGCCACACACACACACACCCTGGAAAAGAAAGAGGGCCTGGGGAGGGGGAGGAAGATTCACACCTGAGGTGCAGGAAAAGAAAGGAGCACCCACAGAAGCTTTCGTGGCAGACGGATTGTTTGAGGAGGCACGCTCGCTCCAGGCTCTGAAGGAGGCTGGGAAGTGGACTGTGGTATTTGGTATTTTCACCGGGCAATGAATCAGCACACCCCACCTGCAGAGCCTCTGCCACCTGTCTTGACTTGTAAGTCACTGTGTCCATCTGCGGCCGTCTGTCCCTCCTTTCCATCATCCATCACTCGACACATAAATGCAGCTGCTCTGACAGTTTTACAAGCCAGACAGAAGCCCCTGCAGGAAGGGCCCCCTCTGATACCTGCTTCCTAAGTCAGTTTCCTTCAGGGCAGACGAAAACAGCTGTGGCCATTGTTGCGGGTGATCTATCTCTCCCAACAGAGCTGGCTGTGTTGTGAGAAGGGGGCCCTCCGAACCCTCTCCTCTTGTCTGTGACCTTCCAGCCTCCTTTTCCCTGACTCTGGAATGTGGACCGTTAACCCTACTGTGGCCAGACTTCTTGCCCTGGAGTTCGGAGAGGGCAGTTCTGATGTCTGGATTCCTTGAACTGGAGGGACTTGATGCTGGAGCCCCACCTGCTGTTGAGATCTGCAGCTCATCCCTAGGAAACGGAGACCAGGGGGACCATCCTTGTAACACTTCTGCCATCTGCTGGAGATGGAAGGAGGAGCCAGCGATCAGAGGATGGCGAGGCTTGGGATTTGAAACTGGAGAAATGCTTTAGAGAGAGTGAGAGGGAGAGAAAAGAAGGAGAAGGAAGAAAAGAAGGATCCAGTAGACTTGAACTTGTAAATTATCTCCATTCTTTTGAATTGCTCTCTGCCAAGGTATAGCCATGCTTTTCACAGAATGGCTCAGTAAGAACCTGCTGTGATGCCATCTGCTTTTTCACTGAACACTGATTCAGTTTTATATTTATTCAGTCCACAGACCTGTCATTGTTCAGAGCTAGACAGTACTTCCCAGAGTTAAACCCTCAGGGTTTTAGCTGACTTCTGTCGTTGGTAGTTTAGGTTATTTCCGATGTTCCTCTGTCCTCAGTAGGGATGCTATGAATATCCTTGGACAAAGTCATTTTTTGAGTTAAACTTTTTATTTTGGAGTCATGGTAAATTCACATGTACTTGTAAGAATATAGAGAAAATTTCCTATTCCCTCTGCCCATTTTCTCTTGATGATAACATCTTGCAAAAGTCAGGATACTGACATTGATACAGTCTACCAGTCTTACTCAGATTTCCCCAGTTTTATTTGTACGTGTGTGTGTGTGTGTGTGTGTGTGTGTTAGTTCTGTGCAACTTTATCATGTATTGATTCAAGTAACCACCATTATGGTCAAGACAAAGAACAACTCTGACTACAAAGATGCCTCTCATTGCCCTTTTATAATCATGCCCTTCTCCTTTACTTCTAACCCTATGGCACCACGAATCTGTTCCCCATTTCTACAGTTTTGTCATTTCAGTTATATAAATGAAATCAGTCAGGATGTAACCTTTTAGGACTGGATTTTTTCACTCAGCCTCATTCCCTGGAGATTCATCTGAGCTGTTGCATGTACCAACAATCTGTTCCTCTTTATTGCTGAGTAATCAATCCTAAAGGAAATCAGTCCTGAATATTCATTGGAAAGACTGATGCTGATGCTGAAACTCCAATACTTTGGATACCTGATGAGAACTGACTCGTTGGAAAAGACCCTGATGCTGGGAAAGACTGAAGGCAGGAGGAGAAGGGGACAAGAGAGGATAAGATGGTTGGATGGCATCACTGATTCAATGGACATGAGTTTGAGCAAGCTCTGGGAGTTGGTGATGGACAGGGAAGCCTGGTGTGCTGCATTTCATGGGGTTGCAAAGAGTCAGACATGACCGAGCAACTGAACTGACTGATTCCATTAAGTATTTTTTTTACCTGTAGGGTTATTTCTGAAGTGAATGCTGGGTCTGAGAGCATAAACAGTCTCCAGTCTCAACAGTGACATACAAATGGGCATGTATCTAGTGTGCTAGCGCTGCTGAAACAAAGTACCAGAGACTGAGTGGCTTAAACATTGGAAATTTATTCTCATAGTTTCTGGAGGCCGGAGTCTGAGATCAAAGCATTAGCAAGGTTGCTTCCTTCCAAGGGCTTCAAAGAAGAGTCTGTTCTGTGCCTCTCCCCTCATTTCTGGGGGCTCACTGGCAACCTTTGACATTCCTTGGTTTTGCAGAAGCTTTGCCCCAATCTCTGTCTTCATCTTCACATGCTGTTCTCCCCGTGTGCATGTGTATGTCCTAATTCCCCCTTTTTATAAGGGCATCAGTCATGTTGGATTATCACCCACCCTGATGACCTCATCTCAACTAATTATATCTGCGACAACCCTACTTCCAAATAAGGTGACATTCTGAGGTCCTTGGATTCAACATATGAATTTTGGATTCATAGTCAATCAACAATTTAATCCATAACATCATGTTTTTCCACAAGGCTGCCAACCCTGAGTATGGGCTGTTAAATTTTTTTAATTGATTTTATTTATTTGGCCACATCACACAGCATGTGAGATCTTAGTTCCCTGACCAGGGATTGAACCTGTGCCACTTCAGTGGAAGGGTGGAGTCTTAACCATCAGACCATCAAGGAAGTCCCTTAAATTGAATTCAGTAATTTAAATTCAATTATCAGTAGTTGAATTTCTAGCAAGGCTGTTTTTCTACATGATGATTTACTGGGTTTTGTTTCTATCAAGCTACCTATTCTTAAGTTCACTTGTCAAACATTTAATGAAGCAAGTCCTCAGGCACAATGAACTGATATATACTCCCCACCTAGGAGCTCCAGGATCAGGGAAGGAATAAATTCTTCATCCATATAACCCCAATACCAAGTAGAAAGTGATTGGTGCCACTCAGGAAAGGTTCGGATACATTCTTTTAAAAGGACAAAATGTTTGGGGCCAGAGAAACCAACAACCTCTTCTTGCTGGGGTGGATCTGGGAAGATGTGGCATTTGGACCAGACTTTGAAGGACAGGCCAAATTTGGAAAGTAAGTTATGCTCCTGACTCCCCAGGCTTGTAGAATGTTTAAGCAGAAAGTGTTGGCAAAGCTAAGTTAGTTTCAGTTTCTACTTGGTTCCCAAGCCCCCGTCTCTAATTCATGGAAACTGAGGACTCTCAGTGACTGCATTTTTATTTATATTTTTTAAAATCTTTTTTCCTTATCTGCGTTTCTCTAGTCTTTTAAAAAATATTTATTTTGATTTATTTGGTTGATCTGGGTCTTAGTTGTGGCATGTGGGACCTTTGATCTCTGTTCCTAGTTGTGGGATCTTTAATTGCAGCATGCAAACTCTAAGTTGTGGCATGTGGGATCTAGTTCCTTGACCAGGGATCAAACCTGGGCCCGCTGCATTGGAAGCATGGAGTCTTAGCCACTGAGAAGTCCCTTGGCTATATTTTTAAACAGATTTTGCTGCCACAGATCAGTGGTAAAAATGGAGGATCTGTATTTGGAGGGAAATCTCTGTTTATAGACAGTTGTCTGCCCTGAGGGAAGTCCAAATCACCCTGTCTTTATTCACAGTTGAGAAATCATTCTCTGTAGAGGGCAGGGTCTCCGGACAGGTGGAAATCTATTTGTTGGTTCAGCAGCTCCTAAGGG